GGGTGATCGTGGTCAACGCGTTCACGGACAAGTTTGGTGCATTTCAAGGCAGTCGCTTGGGTGATACCGAGTGACATTAGGCATTTTAACTCAGCAAGTGTACAATGGCGTGTTTTTGAATTGCTCCTCAGACGTTGGACCTCTCCAAGAGTGCATGCACACTCGTACCTTCATTGAGAAGCGCCTTTAGTGGCGCAGGGTATGCTCAGCGGTTTTTTACTCTACGCGTGGCTCACTTCAAAACAGGCCAGTAAACCTGCAACGCCATTTCTTGCGAATGAGATCTCGACTTCGACATTCCTCAAAACTTCAGCTGCATCGTCCGCTCAGCCGCCCACTGACATTCAGTCGAACCGCTTTTTAAATGCTTGTGCACTCCACTTTTCTTTAACAACATAGGTGTTCTGCAGCTGCGTGTTTGATCTCTTCATTTTGAACCTTGTCATGTTCCAGTTAGGCGCTAGGGGCATGATATCGTCGCACCAATCATCTCGCCCGGGTCCCAAGCAAGTGTCAAGATGCCTCGACAATGGCAGGTCGGCCACCACTGGTCCCCCGAGGCGATGAATCAGCCGGCCTCGCACGCACAAGCAAATCCGTCAGCAACTTCAATCCATGGAAACTTCCCTGGAACCCACAAAATGCTCCAATCGAAAATCTCAATACGATCCATCCAGATTAGCGAAGGGTTTTCTATCAATTCTTCGCACTTATAAACTTAAACAACGGGGCCAAACTTGGAGTAGTCGGTGTGGTCCTTCGAGATGTACTTTTCAAAGTTCTTCTTGAACATGCCGGCCAGCTTCATGGCGGTTTGGTCAAAGGCACTCTTGTCAGCCCATGCGTCGCGGGGGTTCAAGATCGAAGGCGAAATGCTGCCCAACGTCTTAGGGACAGACAAACCGAAGATTGGGTCGACCTTGAATTCCGACTTTTGGATCGAGCCGTCCAAAATCGCGTCAATGCATGCGCGCGTGTCCTTGATCGACATGCGCTTGCCAACGCCGTATCCGCCACCAGACCAGCCCGTGTTGACGAGGTATACGTTCGACTTGTGCTTTTGGATCTTTTCTTGAAGCAAGTCGGCGTACTTGGTGGGGTGAAGGGGCAAGAAAGCCGCGCCGAAGCATGCCGAGAACGTCGCCGTGGGTTCAGTCACACCACGTTCCGTACCGGCCACCTTGGCCGTGTAACCCGACAAGAAATGGTACATGGCCTGGCCGTCGCTCAACTTGGACACAGGAGGCAACACGCCGTAGGCATCGCACGTCAAGAACACAATGTTGTTGGGGTGGCCACCCGACGACGTGGGTTCGTGGTTGTCGATGTGATAGATCGGGTACGACACGCGGCCGTTTTCGGTCTTGGTCGTATTGTAGTAGTCCGGTTCGTTGGTCTTGGGGTCAATGTGAACGTTTTCCAACATCGCATCGCGCTTGATGGCGTTGTAAATGTCAGGCTCGTTCTCGGCTGACAAGTTGATCGTCTTGGCATAGCAACCACCTTCAAAGTTGAAAATACCTTCGTCGTCCCAGCCGTGTTCGTCGTCACCAATGAGATAGCGGTGGGGGTCCGCCGACAAGGTCGTTTTGCCCGTGCCGCTCAAACCAAAGAAGAGGGCGGTGTCACCTTTCTTGCCCTTGTTGGCCGAGCAGTGCATCGCCATGATCTTTTCCAGCGGCAACCAGTAGTTCATCATGGAGAAAATGCCCTTCTTCATTTCACCCCCATACCATGTGCCCCCGATGATCGCGACGCGCTTTTCAATGTTGAACCCGACAAACACTTCCGAGTTAAGGCCGTGGCGCTTGTAGTCTGCGTCCGTCACTTTGCACGCATTGATGATAGTGAAGTCAGGCTGGAAGTTTTCGACTTCTTCCTTGGTTTGCGCACGAATGAACATGTTGGTAACAAAGTGGTGTTGCCAAGCCAATTCCGTGATGATGCGTACACGCTTGCGCGAGTTCTTGTTGGCACCGCAGTACCCGTCGAAGACGTACACCTTTTCAGCGGCATTGTAGTGTTTGGCCACGGTTTGGTGCAATTCATCAAACACCTCGGGCTTCATGGGCTGGTTAATCGAGCCCCACCAGATGTTCTTCTTGGACGGTTCTTGTTCGACAAAGTACTTGTCCTTGGGCGAGCGGCCCGTGAACTTGCCAGTGTCGACGGTGAAAGTCCCGTTCGCGACGAAGTGGCCTTCCTTGTTCTTCAACTCGTGTTCGGCCAATTCGGCATAGCTCAAGTTGCGGTAGATGGTCGCGTTGGTCTTGATGCCGACCTTTTCCAAGTCTTTGAAGGTGGACATGGCACGGGCCCACGTGCCAGTGTACGTGTTCTTGGCGGCGGCAGTGCGGCGCAGGATCGAAAGCATCTTGTGGCTTCGGTGCAAAACGAATTGTGAAAGATATCCGTCGCAATGTGGGGACAAATTTTACCCTTCAAATGTGATTTTCAATTCAATTTGAAAGGTTCACCCATCTCATTGGCCCAGCACATTCGACGACAGCGCGTCATCGCCTTATTCTCCTTTTTTCAACCAATCAGGTCCAAGACGCACATCTTCCACAAAAAACCGTCCGGTTTTGAATAAGGCATTTTACCCGGAAAGCCGCTGCCTAAGACACGTGGATTGGTAAACAACATCACCACATGCTGGCAATCCCGCAATTCGCCCTGACACTTGCTCGAGCAACGATCTGTTGATATTACAACAGGGACATACAGACACCAAATGCAGGCGCTGTCTCGCAAGGCGTGTGTTGAGTCAACGGCCCAGTGTGCTGCAAATCTAAACTTCAACCTGTGGACTCCTTTCATAGGGTATTTCAATGGAAATCCCTCCGTGACGTTCGTGTTTATGCGACAATACTTGGAATTTGTATGATGCTTGTGAAAACCCTACTGAATCCATACGTTATCCAAGTTGTGTGGTATATTTATCAAATCCCTATTTCATTTCTCTACCTGGAGATTCGCCAGGATCCTCGTCATTTGATTGGTCAACATATCTATACCTCCACCAATCAGAGTCCAATACAGAGTAAGCCACCGCCGTCCATGAACCGCGCCGTGGGCATCATCCCGGCTCGCCTTCAGTCCACTCGGTTTCCTGCCAAGCCGCTCGCACTCCTATGCGGTCGGCCGATGATCCAGCACACATATGAAGCTGCGTGCAAGGCTACCTCTTTGAGCCATGTGTATGTGGCCACGGACTCGGAAGTGATCGCCGCCGCCGTCGATGCGCCATCGAGCACACTACTCACAAGTGAAGCATGTGAAAACGGCACGGCTCGAGTGTTGGATGCGCTGCGTCAACTCGATCATGATGCTGCTTTGTCGTACGATATCGTCGTCAACATCCAAGGCGACGAGCCGCTTGTCGACCCGATGCACATCGACATGTGTGTGGCTGCGTTGCAGAACGACCCAACGTGCGTCATGAGCACGTTGATGGCGCCCATCCACGAAGAATCTGAAGCACGAAGTCCCCACATAGTCAAGTGTGTGACAGACCACCACAGGTAATTTTTCCCTGCCTTCTTGTGTCCGTTGGCGAATCGTTGCGTGTTGCAGCAACTAGCTCACATGCAGCAATGCCATAGCAACGCGCTGTACTTTTCCCGGGGAATGATCCCTTCTTCCAAGGACGATGCGTTCGAACCGCGTCGGTGCATGAAGCACATCGGTTTGTACGCATTTCGGCGGTCGTTCCTCGTGGACGTGTTTCCGCAGCTCAAGTCGCTGCACACATCAGAAGACCTGGAACAACTCCGCGTTCTCGAAGCTGGGTACAAGATCAAGATGGTCACGGTGCCCTTTGCATACCCTGGTGTGGACTTACCCTCGGACGTTGCCAAGGTTGAGAGATTGATGACTCGATAATGATGGGACCACACCACCCAAGGTGTCGTCGCGCTGACCACAGGGCCACGGTAGAGAGAATATTGTGTCACGAATTCTACAAATTCGCACGCCTTGCAATAGTATTGATCTCACATTCAACGTTGAAAGAATGACCATGAAGGATGCGGCATCGACGTGTCCGTTCGTCGGTAGTTCATATCCTTCTTGAAGGTCGACAACTGTGCAATTCAGGGCACTCCAAAGAGACTTATCAATTCCTGGTATCACATCACTGGCTCTGCTTGGCAGCTCATCCCGTGATGCACCGAGTTCCTTGTCGACAAAGTGATTGGAGCCCGTCGTGGTGCATTGAAAGCTGCGTCGTCAGGTGGTGTAGTGACGTCGATCCCAATGCCCTGAAGTCCAAGATCAAGAGTGCCTCAACATTCGACTCGCGTTCTCACTCTTGGGCGTCGTGATCGATTCACGGCTGACGATTCCGGTGCACGTGGCTCCTGGTTGAACTCACGAGCTGCTGGGTAGCACCCAAGGTCGGTGGGAGTCAGTACTCGACCGTTGCGCGGCACGGGATACAAAACATCGTGGTATCGACTCGGAAGGACACATAACAGGTTTTAGTAAATCGAGCACCGAATTCATCGCGTCGAACTGTTTGTGATGGCGGTGTCGGCTGCCAGGCAAGGAAACGGCTTGAGGTTGTTGAGGCGGTTCATGCCTTCGAGTGCCTTGAGCAACGGCATGTTGACGAGGACCCAGTCGAGATCGAGGAGGCCCTCCATGAAGTATCCCTTCGTTCCCGACGAGCTGTACTCGTACCCGCTCTCCGGATTCAACGACCAAACATACCCCCCCGCGTACCCCGGCTGCGTCGCAATCATGTTGATCACGGTTTGTGTTACGCGCTGGTTTGTCTTGTTCGCGTGGGCATCGTGCTTGAAGAGCCCGCCGAACTCGCCCAGCACCAGCGCTCCGCCTTGCTTGGATCGGAGGTACCCAAACATGTCTTCGGATGTGTCCGCGACGATTTTCTCGAGGGTGGCATCGTCCCATTCCTTGTACCCGACCAGGACGTCGCCGACGCGCTTGCCGCCCTGAACGAGGTAGTCCTGGGGGTATACGGACGGCGAGTAATAGTGCGGAGCGTATACAACCTTGTTGGCCGTGGTCAGCTCGAGCGGGGCTTTGCCTGCCATTGCACGACCCAATCAGTTCGAATTCCAACCTGACGGCAAACGTACCAACATCGCGGAGGCCGCCACCCCACCAGTCGTAGAACCAGCTCTTCTGACCAGCGTACGTGCCGCTTTGTTTGAGCGCGTTGCCTTCTACGAAAGCAAGCCATTGCGGGCACTTTGCGAGCATGCGGTTGGCCATTTTCGCCGCGCCGACGCGGAAATCCTTGGGCCCGCTATCGCCCCACGTAATGTTGAACGGTTCGTTCTTGAGATCGATGCCGACAATGTTCCAAAACTTATCGTGACACAGAGTCGTCGTGAGGACGTCGACGGCGTTGAGGGTGTCGGCCTCCGACGTCATGTTGCCGTACCAGGCGTCGCCCTTGGTGTACAGGTCGAGATTGTGGATGTCCAGGAGCACCGAAATGCCTCGGAAGCCCAGACCCTGCACGACGCTGCCGATCGTGCTCGTGTAGTTGGTCAAATCCATCGCCGCATTCGCTTCTTCGTGCACCATGCCTCGATTGGGCGCCGTGTTGTTGAGAATCGACGACACCGTCAGGGGAAGGCGCACGCTGTTGAACTGGTGGCGCTGTAAGAACGCCGCGATCTCGAACAACGTCGTCCCGTTTTGGTCGTTTGTCCAAAGGCCGAATGGGATCGCGCTCTCTGTTTCCATGCCAAACCAGTTGGTGCCCTTGATGGCGACGGGAATCTCTTCGTTCGTCTTGGTCACAGCGAAAATCTGGCCTTTCTTCGATATGTAGTTGGGTAGGTAGCACCGCTGGCCGCTGTACGTCAACGGGTTCGTTTCTTCATCCGTTGGCCGTATTGCACCGTCTTGGATCTTTCCTATGGTAAACACCTGGCGCGTGGGGGCTGGCGTCGGGGCGGCGGTCACCGTGGTCGGCTTCTGAATGGCATTGGCGCTCAAGGGCGTCGAGGCGGATTTGGCGGCCCGCCAGATACCAATCGTTGCCCCGGCCACGACAACGATGCCGAGGCCAAGGAGAAGCAGTTTCCGCCTACCAGTCTATGGATGGAGTCCAGGATTAGGAAAAGAGACTGGATGCGGGTGACGTGAACTCACGTTGGGCGAATGCGCAGGGCCTTCGTAGTCGCCGTGGGTGGGGGCTGCCATGGCCATGTACTCGTTGGGGTGGGCGTGTGGAGTGCGCTGCTCTTCGTTGAATGGCCGAGGGCTGCTCGGGGCCATGGGACCGCCTTGGACACCATCTCGCGAACAGACCATGTTGTAATGCGATCAACTTCAACTTTATCCTTCGAATTTATCGGGTTCGAAAAATGGAATCCTGACCATATATTTTGAACTCTGCTGCAGTCATGTGCCACGAAGGATCGATATTTGAGCGGAATGCGTCAAGATAGTTCAAAGTTTGGCGAATGTGGGGCTATATCCATGTCAATGAAAAATATCTCGACCAATGTGCACATACAACGCCGCGAGGGGACGACGTTAAAGGTGGGTGAAAACGCGTTTTATTCAAATATGATGGCGAAGCAGCAAGCCCACATACATCGGTTCGTGACAAATTAACGATGGCGACCTGCCCGTAGACATTGAATATTTCAACGCCGACCAGTTCGAACTATCCCATGCAACAGTTGACCTTTTTGTACGAGGGCGATGTCAGGCCACTTGCTCTTTGAAAGGGATTGTGCAGCGTTATGCTCTGGTTCCAATTCAGTTAAAAATTGCAAGCATAGCGCTGCCGACAGGAGTCGTCGAACCATGGCTTTTCAAAAACAGCCGTCCCCCATCTACACCATTGATGCTTTCGCTCTCATCCAATTGAGCAACAGCATCAGACAACATACCAAAATATGTCGCCGCCGTTGTCATCCGCGGACAGATCCAAAATTTCACGCTCCCCGTCACAAAACAAGTCGTTGGTTGTTTGCCCTATTTAACGCATTACGTTTAAACCGTTTTTCGATAAGTGGTCGTAAGTCACGTAGAAACTGCTGCATGAGTCCCATCGTCAAATTTTCGTCGGCCTCAGCAAGCGCAGGAACAACGCGTGGAGGAGATAACGTGGCGGGTGCCGGGGATGAATACGTGCTGGGTGCCCTTAAATAGACTTAAGAGATGCAAGCACGGGCGCTGCATGGCTGGCGCACTTCGGAGGCGGTGGCAGCCGGCGTCGAGGTTGTGCTGTCAGCGGTCCAACAACTCGACCGGCTCGGGAGACACTCGAAGCGCGACTCGATATCGTCAGCTTGCTTGAAGTGCCCTTGCATATCTCGGTAGAAATCGACAAGGGCAGTATCCAACTCGCTCGTGTGTGATTCCATTGATGGCGCATATGCATGATCGATCATGGTCGGGGAGTGCCCGAGCCTTCGTTGGACTATCGCCGTCGCCATGATTGCGTTCGCATGCTGGAATTGCATGCGGAAAGCACAAATGTCTTCGACGACGTCTTCTTCGGACGTGGGTTGCGTGAGGTGCCGCGCGAGCGCTGCGTGAGCGTCGTCGATAGCTTGCGTGATAATGTGAAGGATTTCTTCCATCGCAGCAGAAGCCGACGACGACGACGATACTGGAGAAGACGGGGACGGGATCCGGATGCGAGGTGGCGCCGTGAACATATTGGAGAACGTCATGACGCCATGGCTCGTGGTGTCAACCATGGTCGAGAAGGGCAGCAGTGCACACGAGATGGCTCGGTCGGCTCAACTGCTCGACGATGCCAAGACCGATACGTTCAGTGCGCTTTTATTCCGTTTCTCAATTCCAATACAAACATCAAGTTAATTATTACAATATTTCGCCCCTTGCTATTTTTGGCCTCCGCAGGAGCTCGCCATCTTTCTCAGCACAAGACCAGCGCCAAGGCACCACCGCGACCGACTGAGACCATGGTTACGCCATTGGCGCATCCGCCTGGAGGAGATCGAAGCAATAAGGAGTACTTCAGATCTATCTTTGTTACGGGGCATACATTGCACGACCCACACCCTTCTATATCTCGGTCTTGTGGTGGTGGTGGTGAGTCGATGCGGGAGATTGAGGCTTGCGGATGTGGTCCTGCATAATGTACGGCCGCAAGACGGCAGGGACCCGCACAGACCCATCCGCTTCCTGGTAGGTTTCCAAGATGCTGATTAAGATGCGCGGCACGGCAAGGGCCGTGCCATTGAGCGTCGCAACAAACTGCGGTTTCTTGTCTTCAATCTTGTGGCGAATATTCAATCGACGAGCTTGGTAGTCGGTGCAGTTGGACAGACTTGAGATCTCGTTGAAGCTTTGGCGCCCAGGCATCCACGCCAAGATGTCCCATTTTCGATACGCCGGCGCGCCGAGGTCTTCCGTGGCCATGTCGACGACCTACGTCGATGCCATGACAACAGTTCCTTCCACGTCTAGCTGAATGTAATACCTGACAATGGAGCCCCAGTTCCGACACCATCTCGACTTGCACAGCCAGCAGCTCGTCCATGAGTTTCTCTGCATCCTCCAACGTGCCTACGTTTCAGCGTCAACCGATGATCGTGGGAACTAACGTACAGTAGGCGAACATTTCAACTTTGCTAAACTGGTGGATCCGATACAGTCCCTTGGTATCCTTGCCGCCGTGGCCGACTTCCGTGCGGAAGCAATGGCCGAAGGCAGCAACTTTCTTGGGCAGATCCTTGGTTGTATGCAAGACAGTGTCGCTGAACATGGCCGCCAACGGGATCTCAGCAGTTCCGACCAGACACAAGTCGGTGTTGGCGATCGAATACACTTGCGTGGCGTCGCCGCGTGGTTGAAACCCTACCCAAAAAGCCGTCAAGCGAGTGCCCTCAAGGCGTCATGTGTAGCTAACACGTGCAGTTCGTTTTGCCACTACTCAACAAAAGAGCAGTACAAATAAATGCACGGTCAAGCTCGACATGAAACACACGGAAAGCACCAACTTCATTGACGTGCAATCATGGCAAGGCAGACTGCATGGAAAGCATTGGGCGACTCCATCAAGATGTCCACGGCAACCACCACAGCGATTGTAGCTCCGAACGGCTCATAGTCGCAATGCACACACAAATGTTAAGCTCTCGGCGAGCGCCGTGGCGGAAATCGGCGGCAAAACAAATATATCGCAGTGTCCAACCGTTGAAAAGAATGCATAAAACGTCAATGAAAACATAGATGCTTGTGCAAAGTAAGCAGTGTGTGCAATATAGCAGAAGCGGGTTTGATGATGACTGGCGTACCGCAGCCTTCGACCATGGCAGAGTGAGCGACATCCGGAGGCAAATGCACCTGGAAGCCCTTTGCTCGAAGCTTCGCCATGCTCCAGTGCACCAGCGCTAGCTCTAGCAACGCGCCTGACGACAGGAGGATCGTGGTGAGGACATACAAGAAATTGTAACCAGGTACCTTCGTTCTTCAACGTGGCAAAGCGTGCCCCAGCAATCTTGGTGTTCATTTCCAGGATATCCAGGTGCGTGGCGAGTTCAAAATGGTCTTTGGGCTCAAAGTCGAACGTGGGTTTCGTGCCGATTGTACGAATCACGACTGAGTTTTCTTCGGGACCGACTGGACTGTCGGGATGCGTGTGATTTGGAATTAGCAACGCTTCGCGCTCCTACGTATGTTGGGTTCAAATCACTGTTGCGACAGAGAGATGCGGATAGAAATGAAAGAAGCGGTGCATTCATTCGCACCAGTTCATGAGTCAGCGTCTCCAAAGACGCTTCCAAATCAGTTAGCTCGGCTTTCAGCGCTCGGCCACGCTCGATGTCGCCGCTTTGCTTGGACAAGAGGTTGCGCTCTTGTCTCAATCGGTACACTTTGTTCGTCGCACTTCCTGCAATGCATCGAGTTGTTTAGCATAGAGCACAACACGGATACCTGAGCAAGAACGATGACCATACCGAGTTTGGTATACAGCGAAGCAACCCGTGCAGGGTCACCTCCACTCTTGCGGACTGCAACGTTCTTGATGGCATCGTCCAAGTTTGCACTCAATGCCTTGAAATCTAGCCGCGACTTGATCGGTGTCGAGAAAGACCGCCGACACACGCGCCCCAGCATCATGGATTTCGTTCAATGGATTGAGGAATGGCGCTCGTCATTGCAACCCGCGCAAACTCTCTTATCCGAAAAATCCGGATAAACGAAAGATGCGCCACCTCCTTGGACAGAAACAAGTCGAAAGGGGCTGAGTGGTTAGTGTAGCAACGGAGGCCGCTGGTGCCGCCAGCAATCTCCATGGACTTTGTCGACGTTCGAAGAGGAAGAATGCAACGGTCAAGACATAGCACTTGGCCTGGTGTGAGAGCTACACCTCGTTCATCCGAAGACGGTTGTCCCAGGGTTGGCACGGTGGTGGTTGGCAACAGTGATGGGTCGTCCTGCGGGTGGTGGGCGATGTTGAGTCTCCTTGATAAATGTGCGCCATGATGACGCCTGAAGCGACGTGGCGAGTGGCTCGTGAATGCTGGACGAGGGCTGCGGCCATGACAACGTCGTTCAATACGGATAGAAACATCAAAGTATCCGGAAGATCGTTGCCGCATCAAGTAGTCATTTTCAAATTTGCGCGCGAAAACGGCAGGCAACGGACGACACATGGCCAGGGACAAGGAAAAGCACAAGGCGTCGTGCAAGCGATGGAGAGAAACTAATAAGGAAAAATACAAGGCGTCGTGGAAGCGACGGTATGAAGCTAATAAGGAAAGATACAAGGCGTCGAGAAAGCTATGGTATGAAGCCAACAAGGAAAGATACAAGGCGTCGAAGAAGCGGTCGCGTGAAGCCAACAAGGAGGACATCAAGAAACGGCGGGCAGCAAATCGAGCGCGAATGACAGCAGCGCACAATAGTTCCAAAGGATCTACATGGACGAAAACAGAACAACAGACGACGAAGCAATCCGAAAATATCAACGATGCGACATTGACGAAAAAGGCGGTGACGGGGCCATCCCATAGCGAAAACAGGATTGATGCAAAGAAATCGCTTATATCGTCAGGCCAAGTCAAGCCTCAAGCGAAACTATTGCAAGACCAACAGGCAAAGATTACTCAGCCCCCTCCACTCCCTCTACACACTCAAAAGGCTGCGCCGATTGTTCCGCCATCTACCGTTATCTACCTGGACCCCGTTGTGTTTTCGCTCAAAGTGCACAAGAAGTCATTTCCCCACAATGCCTGCATCGAATTCACATTGATTGTTGAAGAGTACAACTTCGTTGGTGTCGAACAAGGGTGCACCTCGTGTCACTTCCAAAGAGCGATCTTCCCGTCCAGCAAGTACGTTGCAAAAGGCGATCAAGGGCCCCGTATGTGCACATCGTGTCGCGAGTTGATCTTTCTCCGGCATTGTGGGCATTTGTGGAAGAATCAAGACTCGTCGAAGACAACGAGTATCCCACGCACCGGCTCACCTCGTATTGTCGAAGAATTCGTCGTCTAGGAACTCCACGTCTTGATGTGGGGAAATATAACCCTCCGTTTTTCATCCAACGTTACACTATTCACTTGACATCAACATGATGGGGCCAACTTGTGTGTTCTCTTCCACGGCAGTGAGAACGACTTGTTGTGTACACATGTCATTCATTATACAACTTCGATTGTTATGGACCGGCCGACACTACATTCCCACGGGAGCATCTGTCTTGGGGGGCTCGGCATTGGACGACCCCTTCGGGACGGGCAGGAAGAGTTTAAATTCGGGCGGCAGCTCTTCTTCCGAGTACAGACGGTCGGAAAAGTAAATGCGGCGGATGCGGCAATTCGCGTGGATCTGGACACGCAACGTTTCGATGTAGTTGGTCCCGTACGCGCGCCGCGTGAAGTCGCTCAAATTGAACTGGATTTGGTTCCAACCTTCGTCGAGGCGCATCGGCATGGTGCAAATGAATGGCTTGACGCGAGTCGAGCTTTGGTAGTTGGACGCACGGAAGCGTCGGCGGACGTTCTTGTCGTCGAGGACTTGTACTTCAAATGTAAAGTACTTCTTTAAGTTCTTGATAATCATGACGAGAAACGGCAGCTTGATGCCGAGGGTCTTAGCCGGTTGTGCGGGACACGCGATAAAGTTGGTGCTCACATTTGTCCCCATGATTTCCAGCACGGAGCTTTGAATGTCTTGGTCCGTGATACGCTTGATGTGTCCATTGCGCACTTGTTTGTCCCAGATTTGCAGTGGTTTGCTCCTGCATCACAAGCGATAAGCAATCACACACGCGTGAAAACAGGATGTACCCAATGCTGTAGAGGATGGAGAGAAAGCCCGACTGGAAGGTGTTCTTAAACATGCCGCGCCGTCTTGTTTTCAATCTTGTCGCCGCTGCTTTGCCGTCACCTGCTCCTCTTCCAACGTCCCAAACTCGCAATGGCAGAAACCGCCTCTTCACACCAGATCCGACGGTTTCATCATCCGGATATCCGGATATCAAAGGTCGCGCGCCTGGTGATCGGTTTCACGTGCCACCGTGGTGCTGGCTTCAACGTTTGGGCTCTCATCAACAATAGCAAGGTACAGGGCCCTCGCTATGCAGCCATCCCTTTCCATGTGCCCGTCATCCGAAGATTGAATCGCGTGTGTCAAGTGTGCTCAGAGACGTGTGGAAACTACATCGTGCGCTTCGAGTTGGAGCGATAATGTCCACGGAAATTGTGAGCACTAGCGAATGGATGAAAGGCTTCGCAGGACTAGATGCAGCAGTCAATGCTCTACGTTAATTCACACAGCATGCATCAGCAACATCGAAAGCAGATAAGTGTGGGTTCGGCATGTGCAGCTATTTCCTTGAGGCGTTGGAATCTACTTCCATTTGATTGGACATAATTGATAAATTATGCCCTATCAATTGACATTCCCTGATGGGAATATTTCGTGATATATTTGCAGATTTCATGCAATTTTCGTGAATTTCAAGCAGTGCATTCTTCCGTTCATTCTGTTGTTCGCCACGGGAGCTCCTCCCGGGCATGGAAAAGTCGCTAAAGGACATGAATGAAGCGCTGGCGAGTGTGTTGGCGCTGGTGGTGGCACCTGTGGAGTACCCTCCGCCGAGCCGACCGAACCCGTTGCATCAGGATGCGACAGACTTGAACGATCTGCACGAGCTGATGGAAGCATTCTTCTTCCAGGCCAAGAAGCTCGAGACTCAACTTTTGTCACAAGATGTGGACCACGTCGGAGAAAGCCGCGCCCAAGTCGAAGCGGAGATCCAGGCTTTGGAACATGAGCTCAGCGACAAGAACGAACTCATCGAAAAGTACTCGGAAGTCATTCGCGGATGGGAAGGCAAGTTTAAGCGTCTCGACTCGAAGATGAGCGTCTCATAATTATCCCGCGCAATGAAATCTACTAAAATTCCTACAAGGAATCGTTGCTCGAGCCTCCAATCTGTCCGCCACGCACGAACTGTCCTCGATCCCCAACGGCGGCTTTGCACGAGCAATGCAATCCTTCCCCACTAGCTCTCCAACTTAATTCCCGTCTGCATACCACCAGCATCCTCGTGCGCGCACCTCTAGTCCATGTTTCTACTGGTGTACTTCTCTCTCACTTCCTCAATCATCTCCATCCCTCGCGACTGAAGCGCAGCCCCATAACACTCAGCATCTTTATGCATCGTCCATTCAGTGGGTTACCGGCGGTGAAATACAACAATGCACGGCACAATTTACTGCTCCCAGATCGACTTCCACGCGTTCAAGAGGTGCGCCACCTGCTCTGGGTTGCGGACAGCCAAGCGAATGAAGCTAGGGAGTTTGTAGCCGGGTTCGCCGTGGCGGATCGGAACGCCGTGTTGCTTGGCGAGAGCGGTCGCTTGGAGAGCTGTCGCAGCGTTCTTCGTGTCGACCCACACCCAGGACAAGTACCTACAAGCGGCACTCAGCTGCACACCACTTACTGCTCAAGCAATGAATCGACGTACGATTTTCCATGCACTTGCCACGACGGAAAGTGCTTGTGCAGTTGGTCCACCAAGTTGGCGCGCCACACGGGCGTCACGCGCCACGTTTCGTTCAAGTACTCTTGGTCGCGGACGACCGCCGACAAGAACACGAGCGCCATCGAGTTGAGCGACCATGGGACTTGCTTGCGCTTGATGTTGGCAGCGTGTTGGGCCGTGGGGGCAACGACGCTGCCAATTCGCAGACCGGTGCACGACCTATAAACCAATGGATGGAGCGTCTGTGATGATGGTGAATGATGCAGAGGCACGTATTTTGGCACGCACCAGATCTTGGTCCAGCTCGTCATCACCCACACGTCCAACTTGCGCGTTTCGCTGAGGTGTTTGATCCATTCACGTTCTTGAATCAGCGAGTCTGCCCGCCAGTGGGGACCCACCCACGGTTGCATGCTTTCATCTGCAGCAACGACCAAGTTAGATGTGTGGGTTGACCAAGGGGCACAGCAACGACGCACCGACAATTACCGTGTGGTTGTCCGGGCACGTCTCAATGTATGCCTTGATTTCGTCCAACGTGTAGTAGTCGCCAGTCGGGTTGTTTGGGTTCACCAAGCACGTCAACTTGGCTGAAGCGTCCGTGGAAGCGAGCATCGCGCGGTCGTCAGCGGCGGCAGAGCGTTCGTATTCCTTGTACTGGGTGGTGTTGGGACCAACACGCATACCACCAGCAGGGACACTGCGGATGACGAGATCGATCAGTTCTGACGCACCGTTACCGAGCAAGAGGAGTGGCATGTTGGCCAATTCTTTGTCATGAGGCCAAAGGAACGCCGAGAGATGGCTCAACGCCGGTTGAAAGTCGGCCGGCGGGTAATGGTGGATCGTGTGGATCGCGTCCGTGGCCGCTTGTAGCGCCTTCGCCGGCGTGCCGAGACCGTTCGTAGTGACACTGAAGTCTTCGACAAAATTGTTCAGGAACTTCCAGTCCTGGCCGCCGTGGAACGTCTGCGTGTGTTCATCCCAGACGGTCGTCTTCGCGGCGGTGTCGGACATCGTGCAAAATCTCGAAATGAGCAGCCGTGCGGTGACGCGGGGAATTGCGTTAAATACGTTAAATATCGGGAATTGTTTAACGTGTACATTTCTTGGACAAAAAACGTTTATCCTGGCCTTACAGAAAAAATAACACATAAAAACGTCGTTTCCAGTAAAAAGGATGTGGAGGGAAACTTCCCTCCACTAGTCGCTCAAAATACCTACATTGTGTTGTCAAGCTCACGGTGACTGCACTCTACGAAATTTACTACTGCAATAAAGATCAATCTTTCTCAAGAGAGAGCATAATCTACATATGCATGCAGGTGGCATGTGTTGGTGCCACGGGGGGTGGATTCCCCTTTTGATATCTCCATGATCTGGAACAAGTGAAGCTATTTTGAACGTTGCGTGAGCGGCCTGTAACACGGGGTAGGTTTACAGTTGATTTAAAGTTAATTTATTCTTCCCAATAATTATACAACCTGTTTCATAACTTGAAATTTTATCAAAATGTGAAATTTTATCAAAATGTGGGTCGTCCTGTATCATTTTATAGCATGAGTCGTCATGATCATGTTAGTGCAGCATGCCTTGCGAGATAATGAGCTTCCCAACGCTTCGTTTGCCCGAATGGACGCCTGCAGAGAATACAAGCAGAGTCTGGCACTCGAGCCGCTCGCAGACTCGCGCGCCGGTCTTGTTGGCATGGCCGCATTCGTGACAGATGGCTTCGCGCTGGTTGGGAGCGGGCATGCCGTTGATGTACTCGCGCTTGATGTTCAACACGGAATCCAAGGCTTCCCAGAGCGGCACGGCCAGTGGACATGCCACCTCTCCCGCTAGAATTGACTTGACGCGGACGTGGGGACCGTAACATTTATCGTTGAACGTCTTGCGCGACACAATCACGGCACCGGAGAGCCCGATCCCCCCGTACAAACCCATTGAGTGCGAATACGAGTAATTGGGGGCGATCCCGCCCCTTCCAACATTCAGACTCGCGGCGGCGGCACGACCCAGCGGCCCCACGGCGAGATCCAACTCGGAGCCGACCTGGACTTGGCCATTTCTCGTAAAGGTTTTGACGGCGTTGCGTGAGCTCAAAATGACAATGTAATGGACAACTTCACCGCCCACCATCATCCCAAAACCGACACCACCACTGCCAACGAAGGCAGGCGCGGACCAGCCGTTGGCAGTGCGGGCAATGACAAAACCCTTGCCGCCTTTCCCAGACACGAGGAACCCTAACTTGTACACCGTGAGGAACACCAAGCCTTGCGCTTCGAGGAGGAGCTCGCGGGGAATCGAATGGTCTAGCAAGACGGACGAGCCAAAGAATTTGTCAACGATCCCCAGTGCATGGCGCATTTCCGCAGCAAATTGCTTTTCGGTCTTGTGGTCCATGACATGTGTTGGTTGCGCGAGCGTTGCATGATGGGTTTGCAGGTACACGTCAGACTCGGATCGTTGGAGGGAGGTTCGTCGCATGGACGAGCTCCAGGTCGGTTGAAGAGTCGATCGAGACGCACTTCCATCCACCGTGCTCTCGGCTTTGGTCAAGCGCGGCGGTGGGGCTCCGTCGCTCATCGCGGTTGCAGGTTTGTCGGATGTTCAGAAAAAGATATCCGGTTTAAGGGGCTTATTATCCGGAATATTACCTATCATACAAAAATCAAGTCATTCGATTTTTCAAAACAGCATTGTCAACGAGATGTCCCTAAATAAGAACGTGAAAATCCCAAAACAAAAGCATCCCATCTTGCCACTGACCCAAAACACGCGCCGCGCCACGGCCAAAGCGGCACATGCAGTCAGGCAGAGTCCCTTCATCAAGGAATCCGTTCGAGATCGTAATGGCTTTGAATAAGTGGCGCAATCATTGCCACACGCCATAGAAGAATGAATGGTCGTGCGGTGCCTCAACGATACGTCGCATTCACCCTTTCCGCCAAACATGTACGATTGCCATCCATGTGCCCACCTCGCAAAGTCACGTGCTGCCCCATGCATGCACGGCGGGGCCATTAGCATGTCGCTCTGTCTCTATCCAGATGGCTCTCCAAGTTGTGTCGTTTTTCCGCCGCACCTTCACAAGCCTATTCGTCTTTACGTTGTATGCCCTGAGCGGAGTCTGCGAGAGCTCGATTTGGCGATTGACATGCATGCGCTGGGTCACAGCACTTTTGAGGCAACAGCGGCGTCCCAGCGGCCATCGAAAATATTCCGATTCCAGCAGAGCTTGCATGAGGTTTTGAATCTGAATGACGCAATTGCACAGTTGGTGCGCGCGTTGGGGTCAGAACTTGGCATAGGCATATAAGGATAGCGCTGTATTCGAGGGGGTTACGCGTCCCGAATAGAGTGGCAAACCTTTCTTCGCTCGACTTCCTCAAGTCTAATCTGGGGCAATCATGTGAGTTTTGGGCAGGAGGCAGACGATTTAGTCCCAGTGCTGACGGTGGTGTCGGTCGTTTTCGTCGACGGCCCACGCAACGGTGCCCCACAACAACAAGAAGCTGGGCACGAGCGGGAAGAAGTTTTCTTGCACCTTACGGAGCGCCTTTTGGGGTGCAGTGCGGATGAGGTAGTCGACAGGGCGTTGCTCGTAGGGGCTCAATTGGCGCACGACGCGGCCGGACTCATACGAGTACTTGGACCACCAGGTCTTCAATGCATCTTGCGCGAGGTGGTGTCCCTTGGCCATGGTTCCAATGCTTCTTCGTACTGACTGACGGTGCGGCGGCCACTCGTTCTTGGGACAATGTCCTCTCAAGTACGATCCAGTGGACGATATTGCGCTATTTATACCACCACCACCTACAAAAATGAAGTCTATTTCCTCTAGAGGACTCAAATATATTTTTAATGGATCGTACTTCATGAGACCATCCGGATAATTTTTTCATGGAAGGCGTCTGTAACGCGTTTCGAACGCGTATGAAACACTTGGTACACAACGTATTCGCCGTTTTCATTGGCTGGTGGTCATACCAACATGGCAGACGCAACAGGAAGCACGAAGCGGAAGGGCCAGTGGAGCGCCGCGGCATCGCATGTACTGCAGTACCTCGACACGGATGGCGATGCACTGATGGCCTTGTAGAAGAAGCGCCATGTCGCATCGACGGCCAAGGGCTTCAGTGCCGTCCTCGTCACGTGCGACAAGACAAAAGAACGCCAAGTCGTGAAAGACATCTTGAATATCTTGAACGATGTACGAAAACGACTTCAGGATTCACGCCATGCACACCATTTTGAACGAGCCCTCGTATTGTAGGCGGCAGATGTGCTCTACCCAACGCAGGACGACGAAGATGATGGCAGAAACGGCACTGCGGCTGCCACAGAAGACGACGACAAGCCCAAGTCGTCTGCCGAACTGCTCCAGGAGGAAATTGATGGACTCAAAAACGACGCTAAGATCCGCAAGACCGGACGATTCTCTGCATTGGATTCGGTACGGTTTCCTAGGCTTACTGGCAATTCCGACGGGGTGACGCAGGGAGTCAAAGGCATCATTTTGGTTCAGTTCCTGGATCAAACCATGGACGTGAAGAAGATCATCGGCCACATCTTCGACCAAGTCCAGAAAACGATGGAATTCTCGTCTCGGTGTGTGCTGAAGTCGCTGCTATAACAACGCCACTCATTCGCGATTTAGCTTTATCCAACGCATGATTCCTCTCGAAAAGCTGTGCTACCCGAGCGTGGAGGAGATTGCAGCGTGCGCGACCCCCTTTATCGAACGCCAGTTTAAGGACACGACTGGCCTCCAAGTACGTATCGATCAGACTCTGGATCACGTTTTGTGACATCGGGTGTAGTTTGCCGTGGAAGTTCGCAAACGGAACTCTGGCAACATTGTGACAATGGACATCATCAACGCGTGCGTGGCTGTCGTGGGTCCCCAGCACAAAGTGAACTTGACGACGCCAGATGTCGTGATTTTGATTGAGATCTTCAAAAACGTGTGCGGTGTCAGCGTCGTCACCAACTTTCACCAGCACAAAAAGTTTAACGTTCGCATGATCTTGGAGCCGCATGTTAAAGGCGACAAGAAGCAAGCCGACCAAAACGACGAAACGAAAGCGGACGATGCGACCGAAGACGCCAACGACAACGATAAGTAGAGTTGATCCTGTCACTTGTCCGAAAGAAAGCAGTGGATCTTCGTGGTGTTCTGTGCGGCCATATTTTTGCAACGCAGCATGCGCGAGAATGGGGCGCGCGTCGTTCCCTTCCGCTCGCCCACTCGACTTCTGTCGCTGCCTCACTCAAAGCGGCTCGACGGGTGCATTTGCCACTCGCCAACATCAGAAAACAGCACTTGTAGTGTGGCGTTCCTTCATGGAATTTTGTCTCGGTTGCTGCAAGAGGAGAAAAAGAGATGACATGAGTGGGATTTGAACCCACGCCCGAAGACTGGTGCCTAAAACCAGCGCCTTAGACCACTCGGCCATCATGTCGTTATGCTTTCAATAAATAAAGTATATTACCAGAAAAGCTAAAGCCACAACAAAACCAGAAATCGTCGAGCCTTGCATGGGGCGGCATCTCTGTCGCTCGATGGCACGGCATGCTTCGACATAGATAGATTCCTTCGAATGCGAAGGAAGAAGCATGATGATTATCACTTGTTGGCAATGATGGCCAAGTAAAACTTATTGACATGTCGAGCCTTCAGTACAGCTCTACCTACTTCCCGACATCTGCATTCCTGGTGTCATGTCCTCACAAGGAAGTTGTGTTGGGATGGTTTGACCTATTATGGGCGCGGACGCGGCGTGGACGGATGCCTCGTACCCATACTCGGCCGTCGTGGAACTGCCCGTTGCATACATGAACGTATCCGACATATCGGAGCCATGCGTGCATGTGTCAAGGTGGCGGGCTTGGGTGGGTTGCCATGGAGTGGTCGCCGGGTGGATCACAAACTGCGATAAAAATGGAGGATTGGGCTCGATGTGGTCTGCAGCGCTTGACGCGTGTGTCTCAAATGACATGGACGCAGTTGAACAGTTGCGCAAGCCTGCCTTCTGCATCCGCACTTCGGCAGACGCTTGAGGAGGATGGGCCATTGATGCATCGCTACTAACTTGCCGTGCTTGTTGCGTAAGCGACGAGCTTGACGGGTTTGACAGGCGGCGTGGATGCTGCACTGCACCGCCGTTGTGCTCCATGGACGCCCTCAACGACGATGACGACAATCGTCTCAGAGGTGCATTGGCAGATGATGGAAGCGCCATCGTCGGGCAAGGGAGATGGTCGCTTGACGGCACGCCATGGTTCCGTTCGTATATTGGCATTCCACTTGAACCCTCCCAGGAAGGCGACGGAGCAGGTACTTTCACCGACGACCTTGCTTGATCACCAATTGACGGAGTGCTCGACCGCTGTAGTGCCACGTGGGTATGACGTCGATACAACATAGCAAGAACGGCGCATAGGAGCAATGCCGGTACGATACCTACGACGATAGCGGCCCACGGAACGGGAGAGGCATCGGCTTTAGTTGGCTGTAATGGTGGTGCGGCAGAGGGCATAGGTGATGATGGTGCCCAAATGAAAGCGGTGGATCCGTTCGTCTCCGTGGATAGCATCCGTGCGCCATGGGCAATGCTGGCCAGCATCGCCACAAGCGATCGCCTCATGCGCTGCATTCACCTTTGCCGGTGACGAGCCGGTCTGTCGTCGCAAGTGCCATGCGAGATTTGGGGTCCTCTCAAAACAGAAATTGGATTTTTTATTTTATTAAAATACGCATTGTTGATCTCCTTTTTCTACTTAGAATAAAAATTGAGAATTTAAAAGTTTTGTTCGAGAAATAAAATCTTATGGGGCCCACTGCATTAGTTCAACCGGACGAATGAAAAGGCTGGACATAATGCAAGCATACAAAATTTCATTCGTCGAAATTCATTTATCACATGACATTAATGATTTTTCAACCGACGGCGCTATGCGGGTGAGCGCCGCGACGGACGCGCACTCGGCGCTCCATCCGACATGCTCGGAGAATATTGGAGGCTATGAACATAACCTACTTGGAGAGTGCCGTTGTTTGGTCACCTCAGCACAACGTCATGATGACAGCAAAACGCACGTTTGTCGTACACACCAGTCGCACTTCTTAACGTTGGTGCCAACAACCTCGATGTCCCCCTATTTTGCCAAGGCGCTGCTTTTGAGGCGCGACCGTCCTCGACGTAGTCGTCCGGTGCATCTTGAGGCTGGGAGACTTGTTTTGCGTGTCCACGCGAGCACAACGGGGTGTCATGTTGGCCGATTTCTCAACCCAAGTCCGGCGACACTTTGTTGACAAGGTCGTGAAGGAACTGCGCGCGGTGATCTGGGTCGACGAACTCACAACCGCGACTGCTAAGGTCAAAAGTCGACGTGGCTTCGGACACCATGGATTGCCGCACGAGGTTTTGGAGTTGGCGGCGGCTGTCGGTCAGATTCGGCGGTAACCGGTGGGGGTCGATCGATTTCCAAACCGTAGCAAGGCCTCGCCCGGTGCTGCCGAGTTCGTGGTCGTCGAGTTCTTTGTCTTCCATGATGGCAACGCTGCGGCTCGTCATGAGGTTCTGGCTGTGGAATAAGTTGGTGTTTAAGATATTGCTCTCTCGGGAATGCATTTCGGCACTCCGGAGCTTGTATATCGCTCGTTGCCAGGTCGACGTGATGGGTCTGTCTGGCGCTGGGGAAGTTGAATTGTTGGACGTGGAGAGCGATGGAAACATCGCAAAGGTTTTCAAGGCCGATTCTTGTGCCGGCGACTTGCCCGACTGGCGAAACCAGATGTAGCACAAACCAATGCAGACTGTGATGAGGACGCCGAGAATCGTACCAAGGATCCATGGCAGCGGGTCCATCTTCACGACGACCGTGAGGGGCGTCGTCGTCACGGGCACTTGGGCCGTCACGGTGTCGGCCATGGCGAAGAGGACGACGAGCGTGATCTCAACCTGCGTGTCGAATCGCGAATGGCACTTCGTCGGTACCGCCGTCCTCCGTACGAGAATGGGCGATCTTGTTCGTTTGACAACGTTGTGGGAATTTGGCAAAAATACATGAATTTTTGCCCAAAATTCTGAATACACGCTGGATGTTTAACCTCGGGGACTAGTCCATCGATATATATTTGGTAAAAAGTGGGTAAAACTTGACCTGGTTTTCATGAATACATGCCACGTGCGAGGCGTGACCAACATGTTGGTGCGCATGCATTACCACCGAGTATCGCTGAGATGGACGATGGGGAGGCCGATACCACCCAGGTCGACGCCTTAGTTACACAGGCCTTGGACAGCCCGTCTCGCTGGATCTTGTACCCAGAACTGTGCGAGCCGCCGATTTCCACGCCTTCACCCCGCACGTTGATGTCGGAAAGCCGAGCTCCTGTCGGGCGATGAGCGTCTTTGCCATGGGCTTCGCACGCCGCGAGATTCAGGCCGCCGCAAAGAGGAGTGCACGGTATTGTGGCACTTGTGGCCAATGGCAGCGACGCCCAACGCGGTTGCTGTCAACCTTCGGATCGCTCTGCATGTTTCATGGGCACCCGTACACCTTCATACCCGTTCATCCTGCCATGAAGCTCCATCTTTGCAACCATTGATCTTGCTCCCACATGGGGCGGCGCCTGACGTCCTCGAGCGAGTTCACATGCAATGTGTATTGTGCCTATGTAGTACTTTTGCGTTCTAGTGGGTCTTCTGGAGCACTTCGACGCATTCGACGTCAACGCCAAACCCTTTCGTGTCGAAGGGCGGCGCAATTGTCGCAAGGAGGACGACAGATGTCGCACCCAGCTGACGTAGGATTTGCAACCCCATGCCAAAAATGCTTTGCTGCGCCATGAGTTCGCCACTCACGTCGACCAACCCTACCATGTTCAGCGTGATCTTTCGCGTCCGGGGTCAACATCACCGCACCTTCATATCCTGGCACGAACACCAACACACCAGCTTTGCCTTGACGAACAATGTGCTGGTGGGCAAACTGCGCCTCGATCGACCCTTCCAACGTTCCTTGCACCAAATGCACCAACGTGCCAGTCGACGTGACGTCTCCCACGACCAACGCTTCGTACCTACAGATCGAAAACTTGAACGCACACGTCTTTGAACTGCATGCACATAGTGCCGAGTATGTACCGCTGGGCGTCAAAGGTCGATCCGAACGAGATCTTGGTCGCATCACCAAACGGCGTGTGGAGCACCGTCGGGGCTGTCAGCCGCTGAACAACTGCCACGAGAAGAAAGTCACGACGGGAAAGCGAAAGGTTGTGCTCGTCGAAAATGTACCTGTTTCGTGCGAAAAACGATACCGAATCAAGTCGGATATCGTGATCAAGGGCAGGTTGTGGGTCTCAGCGAACACTTCAAGCTGCGGCCGACGGAGCATGCGGCCGTTGTCGTCGTTAATTTCGCAGATGTACGCGGCAGGCGTGCAGCCGGCCAGGCGCGCAAGGTCCACGGACGCTTCAGTGTGTCCCGCTAGAATGGATGCCATGACATTAGACGAAAACTACTTGCGATAAATGAAAGTACCGCGGGCCAAGACACCGCCATCCACAGACACCAAGGGAAAGACATGACCGGGACGATTGAATGCACGGGCAGGTACGTTGGGGTCGGCAAGCGCTCGGATCGTTCGTGCACGATCGGCGGCCGAGATCCCCGTCGTGTTGCCTTCGTCAAGGTCGACCGTGATGGTGAATTTGCATTTGCGGACTTCCGTGTTGTTTGGTACCATCATAGGTAACTGAAGGTCGTTGATGCGTTGGACGGTCAGAGGCGCACACACGACACCGCTCGAGTATCGAATCATAAACGCCAACGACTCTTCCGTCGCCTTTTCTGCCGCCGTGATCAAGTCGCCTTCGTTTTCACGGTCTTCGTTGTCCATGACGACGACAAACTTGCCTTCGCGGATGGCTTGAACCGCTTCCTCCACAGAAGAAGTACCCACGTTCGTCGCAGCAGAAGTATGGGGCACTACATATCAAAAACACGTCGTTCAGGTCCTGCCGCGCGTGCCTCGCGGCGCGGGCGCCGACGGCGGATGAACATGGAAGAACGACGTACTTTTGAGAAATGCCAAAGCGTGGTGGAACGATTTGTCCCACGAACCAATCGGATTGCAGTTGACGCATCGCGATGCATTTTTGACGCAAAAAAACTGGCCGTTGCAAACCACAGTTAACATACCGTGATGGAAATGCACCTTCTTTTGTCCCATAGTCGCTCGTACAATAACAAAGGAAGGCGCATAAAGGACGTCAAATGGGAAACTCACTCTTCCTCGGAAGCTCCCCCAGAAAATCATTGTGCGATGCCACGTCGGCGGCGTCCACGAAGCGCATGCGAGCGATCCCAAGGCCACATTGCTCCCGACGACGCAACATGGATCTGTCTATGCAGAGAGATGATGCTTGTGGAGGAGAACGCCAAGTTATATGTTATACCCGCTCTCCCCGCTCTCGGTCGAGTGATTGGTATCTCTATCGACGCTCGACCGATGGCCGGTGTAATGGTCTACGCTATCATACGAGTCTCGTTCGTTGCTGGAGCTGCCGCTAAATGAAAACACGGGCGCTTGCCGCACGGTTTCGAGCATATACCCCGGCCCCCTGGTGGTGTAAATGTCCGCAGACGAGGACATGCTGAGGAGTGAGGGGTCTGGCTGGTGTTCTTTCGGCGGGAAGGCTTTGGTCGTGACATCGATGGACCCGTCCGAGAGGAGCGAGATGTTGCTCATGGCATCGTCGTCTGTGTTGAGGGCGGCCACGTGGTCGTTGTAGCTCATGCTCTTCTCGCTCACAAACGAGAGATCGGACTCGCGCTTGGATTGAGTGCGGTACTGCGGGGCTGGCCCCACCCGCGACAAGGCCGACGGAACATGGAGAGGGAAGGATGCCGCTGCGCCTTCAAAGCTCCCAGGGTCGTTCACAGGCTCGTCGTAGAGGTTCACGTGTTTATCCAAGTGGTGCTGCAGAGCAATGTCATCAATACCACCACGACGCGAGTCCCATGTGAAGAAAGACGATGCACGATTGTCGTCTTGACCGCTGCCTTCGTTGCCGCCACCGAGCACAGCAATTTCGGCCGCCTTTCCTGACGGAGGCGACCGTTTCTTGCTCGATTTTCGACCGGAGGGGTTCACACCTGGCGCGACGGAAGTGTGCAAGACGCTATCGTGCTCCACCAAAATGACTGGAGGGTTTACTGGCCTTGCCTTGAATGGAGGCTGTGGCCGATTCGCACGAACTGTGGGAGATGGAAGGTTCGACTCGTCGAGGTGTTGGTGACTTAGAATCATCGAGTCGTCTGAGTCCTGGTGCGACTGCCGCCTCTTGTGCACGAAGAAAGCGGCGAGACCGAGCAAGAGGACAGCGGTTGCCGATACCCCCGCGACAACGATCGTACCGACGGCACTGGTGTCGCTGTCGTCATTCGTGGGCGTTGGAAGGGGTGTGGTCGTGCGAGGAGGTTTCAATGTTGGATTTGGTGTGTTTTCTAAGCTGTCAGCATCGTTTGGTCCAGGGCGAGGTGTTGTGATGACTGATTCCGATGGTGATGGAGTTGCCGTAGTTACATCAGGAGTACTCGAAGGTGTTGGAACTGGCGTAGTTGCCGACGTCGTTTGTGGAGGTAGAGTTGTCGTAGGTGCTAGCGACGCCGTCGTCGGAGGGGGTGCTGTTGTGGTGGGAGGAGGCGATGTTGTCGTTGTGGGGACTGGAGTTGGCGGTTCCGTTGGAGGAGCTGTTGTGACGATGGGGGTGCTTGGCGTTGTCGTTGGAGCATCGGTCGACGGGGCTGGCGTGGTCGAATTGGACACGTTGTCTGCTCGAAATGCTTCCGCTGCTGCAATTGCTGCAAGCACAAGGAGAAAGCGGGAGCGGCCGAGTCGGAACGTCAGCATCGCCGCAACAGCGCCGCAAGTTGGAGATTGATTCAGCACTTGGTGCATGACATGAAATACTTCGAACTTCGACGTTCGCGATTCCCCAGATCTCGGCCAGTTTCCAAAACAGCATCGTTTTTGCAAATATTTTGCGTAAATTCTGAATGTTGCACGAAATCATTTCCTGAAGGTTGGCGGTGGGACGAACGATAGCTTGTTGGTCGCCTCAGCTATGTAGCAAGGCCGTTGGGTACAACGCCGTCTTCCCACTGACTCGAGCGCGCTCGAAGCGACAGTCATGTGGACGTTCGTTGATGGAATGTCATGTGGTTGTTGTTGAATTGGTCCCACTTACAACTCTACTGTAGGTGTCGGTGTAGTAGTATTACTTCTTCGTGGGAATACTAAACTCTTGGTCTACTGCTCATGCGCTACACTGAGAATCATAACGCGGTACATCCAGCTTCCTTTACAGACACACGGATCTGTAGCCTGTTGCCATGGTATCGTTGCAGCCGCACATGGCGCGTAGAGGGATTGCCCGCCTTGCCATGTGCGGCAATTTGCAACGAGAGCCAGCCGCCTGTAGAAAGGGGTCGTGTAGCACGAAGTTCGAAGTTACGACACCGCGCCGAGAATATACCACAGCTCACGGACGGTCGGAGGAAGCAGGGGCATGTTCGATATGCTCACGGCGCCAAAAAGTCACTCGGAAGGTGGCTGGGACGAATTTGCTGGTACGCCAGCCACGGCACTAGCGTACATGCACACTTGCGCTCTCCTACCGCATCACCTGTGATGGTACCCCTCTCGTTAGAATAGCCCAGCACAGCTGATCAGCGTTGATAGGGACGGGACAGGGAACAAAGCTGGTGCTACAACGAGGGCTGCGCCAAACTGCGCGGTGAAGATGAGCACAACCATGTTCACAATGGGCGGAGGCGTTGCAAAGGAACCTCGCTGCGCTGGCGAATATTCAGTCGGCGCGCTGGCTGATAGATGTTCACGTCGGCGGCACCAAATAGTATTTCAAATAGTACGTGTAGTAGTACTAAACATGGAAGTATTACTAGTCTGTTCCAAGTGGAAAAGCCAGTTCAACCGCGAGGAGCACAATTTGTGTGTTTTTCGTGGAACCTGCAAAAATCAATAAATTCAAGTATTTATCAATGCAAGAGAGGGGCTGACCATGGTGCATCCCAAGGAATCACAAGCTGCCCTCCTAGCTGTTGTCCAAGCTCAAATGCCACGTGAGGGAGATGAAGTCGCGCTATGCTATACCATGGAAGCGATGCACATTCGGTCGGAAGATACTTGCGCCGAGCACAATACCTCCATCATAAAGTCGGATGATCGCCAAGTCGACCTTGACATGTAAAAGTGAGGACTGCTTAATGGCAATGTCTACTCCAACTGTAGTATGATTGAAAACTATGTTCCAACGTGTTCAAGTACTTTCGTCATATAGAGACTACGAAATGTAAAATGGTGCTGTATGGCCAATTCCAACCCCGTGAAATCGAATTGGCTCTTCCGCAGACACCAGGGCGGACTGAAACAACAGACGTCCTCGACCCGAGCAGTACTAGGTACATCCTTTGGTACTACTGTACCCAAGTGCAACCTCAAGGATGCATCGTCATCGTGCCCAGCCACGCATCCGCCATGGCGATGGTCTCCTTCACAGTCAGCTCAGGCACATCAGCGTACGGTCGTCATGCAGCGAGGACTCTCGAAATGTCTGTCACCAGCCCAAACATCAAGATGTCCATTGAATGCAACAAGGCCCTACTATATCTATACTCCCGTTCGTAGTAGTTACTACGATTCGGGAGATGACTCCTTTGTCTTGCCAAAGCTGCCAGACGATGATTGCCAGAACCGTGGATGAGGGTTGTTTTGCAGCGGGGTGAACAAACTGTCGTGGTCAGACAGGAACGACCCGACGCTTTGCCGACTGCCGTAGCTGCTGCCGCCATAACTTAGCCGATCGTGGTCAACGCTGGCGTAGCTATTGGTACGTTCTGAGGCCGCCCCCCACAGGTTTCTTGCCGCTGCGCCGTTCGAAATCGACGAAGACGGGCTGTTTGGCTTCGACGCCGAGCTGCCTTCGCTCGTCCATGACTGCCGCGTGGTCGGCCAGGCTGCGGTGGTGTGGGCAGTTGTCGGCGCAACCATTTGCCGTGACGAATTTTGCCAGGTGAAGAAGCCCGCCCCCGCTTCCGTTTCAAAGTTGTTGACTGGCGCGACGGTATGTGCATGGGAGTTCTCTGCAGTGGCGCTAACATCGACGACAGATGGATTGGTTTGTGTTGTGAGCGGCCTCGACGAAGCCGCAGAGGCCGAGCTGACGCCAGGAATCGCCCCAGAGCCGTCCACCTCGGGAGATAGCACGTGGACTGATGGCGCGGCAGACGACGGATTGTTCATACCGCTCTTTACCGTTTGCACCACGTTTGCTTGGAATCCTTCATCGTCGTTGTCATCGACGGAGCGCCGAGTACACAACAAATATCCAAACAACCCGAGGACGACGACACCAGCGACGACACAACCTACGATGAGAAACATGGTCGTGCCGCTGGATGCTTCTTCAGCTTTGGTTGTGCTAGGTGGCGAGGGTGGCGAAAGGTTTCCCGGAGACTTCCCAGATAGGTCCATCGAGATCGAATTTGACGCCGTTGGCGCAGGTGTGTTCTCTGGTGCAACGGAGGGGGTAGAAGTCGTTGCTTGCGGTGCATCGGTGAGTTTGCCGGCAGCTTCCGCCGTCGTCGGCGTCTGCGGTGCGTCTGTCTTGCCAGTAGTTGTATTCGAGGGTACGGCCGACGTGGTCGAGGCTGTGGGCGGTGGTGTGGTTGATGGAGCTACCGGTTCTTTGGTGGTCGTTGCATTTCCTTGGCCGGACACAAGCAATGCGCCAAACGCGAGCAAAGCAATCAAGGGCGACTTCATCGTCGTCGTCGAGTGCCGATCGTTGCTGGAGTGGCGCGCGGGTTGAGACTGAGGTGGAGCAAGTTACCACAGTTTCACACACTCTTGTCGCAGGAATTGGATGTGAGAGAGATTTTTTCCCGAAATGCATGCATTTTTATCAAATCATTCGATACCAACCCGACAAGCTAATACAGAATAATGTGATCGTGGATGAAAATATCGGCACTTTTTCCTCTCAAAAATTTGAAGTTTTTCCCAATGGCAGTGTTTCGAACGTCCGATTGGTTGCTTCGCGGTGCTATTACACCCTACGTAATGGGCGCGCCGATATATCCCACCTCACGGAAACGAAACATATACCGGTTTTAAACAGGATAT